AGGGTTTGCTCTCTCAGTAAAGGGATGAATGTCCTGTGTGCTGTTGTACTCATCAGACTCCTTTTCTCTGCTTTAGCACAATTGTTATTTGCAAGATATCAATCAGATCATTATTTTCCCCTTCGACGTGGTAATGTTTGTTGCACAGGATTAGATGAGTTATCCTTCCTGTGGATTTCTGTGGCTTCCACCCTTCATGGGGCCCCAGCCCATATTATATGTCTCATCTCTACTAATGGCATCAATTGTTTCGGGAGCTGCAATGATCTGATCTTTCTTTTATGTGTGGGCCCTTGAGCCACACTTCCCCTGTACTATGTGGTGTTGCCCTGGCCCACTCTGTTCCTGATCCTCTTCCTTATCTGGTTCATTTCCACCATCCCAGGGATGCCTTTTCTGATGCCCAGTACGAGAAAGGGGGTGACAAGGAAATAGATGGGGAAAGCCCGTAAAGAGCAGAGTCAGGAGCAGAGACAGGAGCAGAGAAGGGGGACAGAAACACATGGAAACAAAGAGAAGCACCTGGAGCCACTGGCAGCAGGAAAGCAGGGCAGAGAAAGAGGAAGTATGCAGAGGAAAGGGGGAAGGGGAGAAGGAGAGAGAATTAGGAGTCCAGGCAGAAGTGAACTGATGGAAGGTTCTCAGCCTTGGTGACAGCAACTGGAGTGTGTCCAGCTACAGGCCAGGAGAACCCACCTACAGGCCAGGAGGGCCTGGGTGGCAGACAGCCCCACCTAGGAGATACTTCAGCTTCTCACATCTTCACTGAGTTTTCTCTTCATAATTTCTTGAGGGATTTCTTTTCTTTCTGCAGAGGGCAGTGGTGACTGTTCGCAAATGTGTGATGGAGAAGAGCCCCAGGAAGCCTCTAGCTCCCTAGCAAGATGTGGGTCAGGTAAGGAAGGGGAGGATTTCTGGCCCTGGGCTGCAGAGTGTCAGGAGGTTGAATCTGGAGTTTGTGTTTCCTGATTGTCTTTCCTCCAAGTATACTTCACAGTGAAAGGATGCAATTAAATCTGAGATTTTTCACATTTTCTATACATGGATCTTTTGGGAAATGCAGGGAGGAATCTTGATATAGAAGTCTGTGTTTAACAGAATGGGTTTTATTGTTTGAAAGTATGTGTTTAGATAATCACGTGGTAGTTGGATTATGTCAAGGCAAGGCAATGTGTTCTCTCCTTCATATTCTCATGCCTATTAATACTAAAGCATTAAAATATTTTGCTGAATAAGATCTGATACCCTCACAAAAGCTTAAGATGGGGGCTGACAAACTGGATAATCCTATTTTACAAATGAAGAAATATAGGTCAGAATATTCTAGGAGGAAAAAATGCTCTTTGCCTTTATTTTTCATCGCTATTAATATGAATTTAAAATTCTATTCTCACTTTTTCTTTGGGAATGAAAAAGTTTATCATTCCTTTGCTGGTAGATACTTTTTATCATTTCATCACAAACTTGACAAAGCCTTCAAAGAAATGGTATCCTACCCTCTAATTGACAGAATTCAGATGCACTCTTTATGAGACTAAATGCTCTTTTTGACCAATACTCTTCATTATGTCATTGGATCATGCGGTATGTTTTTAGAGGACTCTCTTAAGTGTTACATTTTTACCCTCAGAAACCTCAAGATTTAGGCAGGGAAAGTGCTGTTATTGTTGTTTTGAGGAGCCAGAAACACTGAAGTACATGTGACACCGGCGTTTGTTAAGACCCGAGAAGGAAGGAAATGCGGAGACCAATGTACTGGATGACTCCTTACAGGCTTCCAGTTCTGTGAGGCAGGCACCGGTTGGGGTGGGGTCCCATAGACTGAGTCCAATGTGGAAATCCAAAGGGCTTTTAGGAATCCAAGAGACTCTACCAGGGTTTAATGTAAGAGACTTTTATTAACAAATAAAGCAAGCTTAAGCAGAGGAGTGGAGAAATTATTGAGAGTTAGAAAGTATGTAAACATAATCTATGATACGAGATAAGAGATATCCAGAAAAATAGAGCCAGAAAAGATAAACAGAGATAGAATGTGCCAAGTAGACACAGCACATCACTGGAGGAGAGAGACAGATAGTCAGGGAGAGACGTTTGGAAGGGAAAGTCCAGACAGCCACAGAGAAGGACAGTTGCCTTCACAGAGTAGTGCTCTATGAAGGTGTATGAAGATATAAGTGTATACCTTTATGTGCCTCAATAGGTATAAAGTGGGGCAAGGACATAAACACAGGACCAGGGATGCAGGAGGGAAATGAGGGAGGCAGGAACAGTCCCAGAAAAAGAAACCAAGACAAAGAGAAGTACCAAGAGACTCCAGTGCCAAGAGACAGAGGTAGAAACACAAGCAACAGAGACGTGTGTCAAGGGTGAAGATGAGAGTGCCAACATGGGGTGGGAGAGCAGGTGCACAAGGTTTCTGACAGTCTCAGTCAGATGGCTGGATTGCACAAGAGCTCCTTTTACCCTCACAAACTCTTAAACATCGGTATGCAAACAGCTAACGTCTATCTTACAGACTGGGAAATAAAGCACAGAAATGCAAGCAGGATATTATCGCAAAGGCAAAGTAGAAAAGGAAGAGTGGGCACCAGTGTCCTGGAGGTGTTACTGGGTGATGGTTGTGCAAAGCCAGCTGGGGGTTCGGGGCAGGGTCACAGGGTCAGAATAGAAAGAAGCCCAAGGAGTTCTGCAGGTTCCCGGAGGAGTGGACCAGGGACCAATATAAGGCTTTAAGGGGGAAAAAAAAATGCTAGTGGGAGGGAAGGGAAATCATGGAAACACAGCATGGAAATAGAGTCTGCCCTTTGGCATAGGATGGATATAGAATAAGAGCTAAAGAAATAACAGAAAAGAGATACAATATTACTAAAAAAGGAAAAAGAGATAGAAACAGGAATGAGAATAAGCCAGTTGGAGAGAAGACCAGACAATCCAAGCGCTGCCCGACTTGGAGGGAACTGTGGAGGCAGAACTGTGAGGAGGACACTGAGAATTAGAGAGAAGGAGAAAGAGGAGATGCAACAAGATGGAGAAAAGGCGGAACAAGACGAGGGTGGCTGTCAGCGTTTGCCCATCTTGGATGTCGTGAACACACTGAGGTCTGTGTCCATGTACCCTTTGTGGTCCGTCAGTTTCTTGTTTCTCTGCAGAGAACTTGGATCTAAAGACTCCCCAAATCACTAATGAAGGAGAACCAGAGAAGGGGCTCTGTCCACTACCAGATGAAGGAGAAGGTAATTATGATTTAAATTTTTAGATATTTGAGTACTTCTTTGTTTTCCAGTTGGCATGGAAAAAAAAATTCCCTTTCTCCCATCCTACCTTCCCTTCTTCACATTCGCATGCATACAGATGGAATTATGTCAATTTTCTGTTGGGCTTTTTTGTAAATTGTGAGACACAAAGGATCAAGGTAAGGTGAGTCCCTGAGTGGAGACCATATCGTTGCATGGAGAATACAGGGAGACAGAATATGCCAGAGTTAGGCTGGGGGCACCAGAGAAGAAATGCCTGGGTGATGATATTAAACACACATTAAACCTAAATATCAGCAGATTATGGTAATTGAGGCAGGGAGATTGTTTTCAGCCTACTTTCAGAAGCATCAGGAACACAGACATAAGTTTTGTGAATGATTGAATGCTTGCAGTTGAGAAAAGTCATGTGGAAGACCCTTGGGATGGAACTGACAAGCAAAGGATATGCGGTTTTATAGCCCCTGCATAAATGGAAGGACTTTTCCAATCTGGGAGAAGAGAACTTTGAGAGTGAGGAAAATATATAAAATTATAGACATTTTACAGGCATCTAAGAGGGCAAGGTAAAACCCAAGGAAACAGACAGAAAAGGAGAAAGTAAAAGACAAAGTAGAAAGCGGATAACCAAGAGAGAAAAGTTAGAGAAAATTGTACAAATGGAGGCAAATACAAATGACAACAATGTTGGAAGGAAGCACAGATTAAACTATGCAGAGAAAGAGACAGATCAAAATAATTAGAGAACCCATAAAGAGTGCAAACTATTGTCGGAGGAAAGGAGCAGGTTGAGGGCCTGTAGAGCTGAAGTCAGAGTCACTAGACAGCAGCAGCTTCCAGCAAACGGCACCTCTGTCAATAGTGAGTTTTCTGATTAAGGTCCCTCTAGGTAGAGAGTGGCACAGAAGCATACTCAGAGGGTAAGAATTCTCTCCCCGCAGACTCATCTGCTCAGGTAGTGGAATGATTGTCAAGTATTTAATATCTGTCTGCCAGGCAGGCCTCCCTTCCAAGCTCCTCCATCCGTGTGCCTGAAGACGTTTATCTTGGGACCTTCCTTTTTGCAATGTCTTTCAGGAACGGAACACTTCACAGTGGAAACCAACACCTCCTCTGAACTTAGAAACTCCTCTTTCTCCAGGGTTTGCTTTCTCAGTAAAGGGAGGAATATCCTGTTTGATCTTGTACTCATCAGACTCATTTTTTTCTGCTTTAACGCAATTGTTATTCGCAAGATATCAATCAGATCATTTTCTTTTCCCCTTAGATCTTTTCCCCTAGTGATCTTTGTTGCACAGGATTAGATGAGTTATCCTTCCTGTGGATTTCTGTGGCTTCCACCCTTCATGGGCCCCCAGCCCATATCGTCTGTCTTGTCTCTACTAATGGCATCAGTTGTTTCAGGAGCTGCTCTTTTATGATCTGATCTTTTATATGTGGGTCCTGGAGCCACACTTCCCCTGTAGTATGTGGTGTTGCCTTGGCCCACTCTGTTCCTGATCCCCTTCCTTATCTGGTTCATTTTCACTGTCCCAGGAATGCCTTTCTTTATACCTAGTTTTAAAAAGGGGGTGACAAGGAAATAAACAAGATAGGGAAAGCCAGTAAAGAGCAGAGTCAGGGGTGCAAGAGAAAAAGACAGGAGCAGAGAAGGGGGGCAGAAACACATGGAAACAAAGAGAAGCACCTGAAGCCACTGGCAGCAGGAAAGCAGGGCGGAGAAAGAGGAAATGGGCAGAGGAAAGGGGGAGGGGGAGAAGGAGAGAGAATTAGGAGTCCAGGCAGAAGTGAGCTGATGGATGGTTCTCAGCCTTGGTGACAGCAACTGGAGTGTGTCCACCTACAGGCCAGGAGGGCCTGGGTGGCGGACAGCCCCACCTAGGAGATACTTCAGCTTCCCACATCTTCACTAAGTTTTCTCTTCATAATT